TCCTGAGTTAGATTTTTATTCTCACATGGTCACGTTACACGTAGGTTTGATTTGCAGCTGTTTTCACCTGTTCACTCAGGAGTTAAAATTAATTTTATCTTGTATATTTATTCTTTCAGATTTTTTTATTGAAACACAAATTAGAACATACACACAGGGACTGACTGATGATGAGAACTAATGATACAAGGAATCATTTTCATCTAGAACAAAAGAGACAGAGGTTTTTATGAAAGTGCACGTGTGTATGTGCACATATGCTCATAAATACTTTTTTAATCCTTTTAGATTTTTAAAAGGAGCAAGGATTTAAGAGGCATCAGTCAAAACAGCAAGAAAAGAGAAATATTGATTCATTTCTTTTTTGTTGACAGTATTCTCTGACAAAAACAACAGTGTGCCTCCAGCAAATATTCCATGTGTGTCTTTTCCTTCATATATCTGAACGCATCACGGCGTATGTTTTCATGAAGCAGTACTTTGAATGAACAGAGCTGTGGACTTGAGATGGGTCGCTGTTGTCGCTCAATGACGCACAACTGGATGTAGGAAGTGTGCCACTTCACGGCTGCCTTTTTCCACTCCACCCCTGCAACCGCCTGCAGATCAAGTCAGACCACGTCCATCTCAAACGCACCTTGTCTCACCTCATGTCGAGGGATGTCTTTTCAGCTAAACAATAGAAAAGTTACACCCTTTTAGTAACAAACTGTTTTTAAGAAGTCAACTATATTAGATTGACACAGTTTATAGTGGAGCTACATGCCTTCTGCTGTGTATATATAAACTCTGGGGCTTTGACCCAGAGGTTCACAAAAGTATTTTGTGTCGACTTACCGGAGACGTGTGACTCACTAAATTGTCCTCTGGTCATCGAGGAGTTTTGTTGGCAGGAGTCTAACACACAAAGAGAGGCTGTGCTGCTACTGCAGATGGATATTACTCACTCCAATGGTGAAAGGCGCAATCAGCCAACCTTTTCCCATCATCCTCTTTGTTTGTCCAGACAGTTCACGCCACCGAGACACACACAAAGCCTTAATGAGCATCTGAGTATGCATATTAATTAACTTGTGGGGGTTTATTTCTAGTTCTTGTTTTATTTTTATAGAGGTATAAGTTTGTAGTTGTTTGTGTGTGTGAGACTTTATGTTCAGGGCTGTTCAGGTGTTAACGTGAATGCCAAAGAATAAAAAGACACGTTGCATATTGTTTCTTACCGTGAGAGTTCGAAAAATAGAACTTTTTACGTTGCACTGCTGTATGAATCACTGTAAAGTAAATGTCTTTGACTTTTTTGCTCTTGAGCCACAGTTGGTCATGAGCTCCATGGACGTCATTCCATCTTAAAACCCAACTAATCTCATCAATTCATCAGCATCCAAAGGAAAGGAAACGTAGGCAGCAGCAGCAGCAGGCCGAGGTACCTGTAGGCGGCCGCTGACAGTTGATTATAATTGGGTTGCATCTGCTACATCCAGGCTTTCACATCCCATCAAGAGGAAGGTCCTGGCAGACAGTTTAATATTGGACGACTGCTGCTTCACTGTAAGAGCAGTCAGACCGTAGTACTCTCTCTCTCTCTCTCCCTCTCTCCCCTGTCCATAAACATAACATCCTCAGTGATGTTAATTTGGAGGATGTCCAGTTGATCCCATCGTTCGGTTATACAGCACACAAACATCCAGGATGTGTCCATCTCAGAGAAACAGGTCACTCACGTATATACAATGGTAAACGGCCTTGATTGATACAACACTTTTCTAATCTTGACAACCACACAAAGTTTAGCCATTCCCATAGACACATTCATACACATCACTCACACACACACAGCCATCACAGGCAATTTCCTCAGTGTCTTGCCCAAGGACACTGCTGCACACGGAATGAAGGAGCCAAGAATCAAATCACCAACCTCTTTGTTGTGGAGTTTACCTCCTGATCCACAGTCACCAAAATATATAACCCAATTAACCTCCTCCCTGCCTGACCTAACACGTGTCAGGAAGTTTAGAGGAAGTTGTGTTTATTTCTAAAGCACCTTTCTGCACAAAATGTCAGAAAATACAACACGGCATAAGACAAATTAACTAAAAATACACACACACACACACACACACACACACACACACACACACCTGTCAATGACAGGCCTGTCTGTAAACGACTGTTAGCAGGTGACATTTAAGACTGTTTACACTCCTGACTGACCTCATGTCAAAGCAGGCTGGTCCAGATCCTGCATCAAAACAAGGTTTTCAGTTTGAGTGATGCCTGAGCAACAGTGAGAAGTAGAATGATTATATTATCTCTGCCAAGGCCCAATAGTCTTTTTAAATGTAATCAAGCTGCACCAAATCTCACACACTCATAAATATCAGGTCCTTAAATGTGCCTGATTTCATCAAGATCCATGAATTATTCCCTGGAAAATGTTGAAAAACATTGTGTCTTGCAATGTATGGAAATCATTGGTTGTTTTTGTGTAATCTTGTTGACAGAAAAGAGCAAAATACAAAACAACCAACAATCAAGGGGTGAAAACATAATCTCCTTGTCCGATGTTACCCAATCAGATTAAAGGTCAGAGGTTAATTCATTAATGAAGCAGCTCCCAACCTTGCAGTGTAGCAAAAAGTGTTGATATGAAAGTAAAAAAAATGAATTATGTGATTTTTCTGTTTCCATATCATATATTGAATTCTTCCAACCCTTCAAGCCTTCAAATGAAACAATCTGACAAGGAAGATCTGCTCTGAGCTCATGTCCACTCTCCAACAAGGCAATAACCTCACCTCATCACACTGAAACTCATTTCAAGTTCAGATTCTGCCAAACCTCTCACAAAACCAAGACCTGTAACAACCACTATAGCATGTTCCCACATTTACTTACAGGAGAGAACCCCTGCAGTAACATCTGCACAGCTGCTCTCCTGTCTTCTTACACAACTCTCTGGTCAATGTAAAATTGACTCAGTGACGGCTGAGCTTGACAAGGAGGCTTTACAGTGTCCTAGTTTTGATTGTGAGGGACATGGGAGTGGCCTGTGGGACAAGCAGCACATGGCGTCTAAAGGATCCAGTTATCTACCTGTGGCAGACAGAGGATGTTCTCCCTAAATCAGGGGCCGTAAAGGGGCCATCATTTACACAGAAGGGCAAATTACACGTCACATGAGCAATTCCTGATTCAGGGAGGTGCACATTGAAGCCGTTCCTTGTTTACTGTTATCTCTGAAGCTTTGAGTAAAGCCACACATCATTGAACGTGTTCGGAAAATTGTTCCCTGTACCAAGCACATTGTTTACTTCAAAATAGCTTAGAAAATAAAATTTTCTAAGTTGTTTTGTATTCTTAATAAGTGACTACCAGCACAGGGGGCACTTCAGGGGCCGATCGAATGCCCTTGGATCCGCCCCTGCAATTAACCATGTGTATAAAACCTTTTAGTCTATTGCAGATTTTTTAATTCATTTGAAAGATTCTCCTGAATGATTTCAAGGTAAATATTCTGACATATGATTTGAAACTCAGCAACAAGTTTTAAGCTATAGATGTTAACTGTATCCTCATTCCGTTGCATGGAAAAAAGAAGCTGTAATCGTTGTTTGAAAAATGACAAAGCAGCACACAAATCAATGTGGAGGATGTGAATCTACCACACGGCAGCTGTCTGTCTTTGTTGAAGGTCGACTCACTTTGTCCTCCAGTTGCCACAACCGCTCATTCTTGCCACATCTATTTGGACACAATAAACTCTTGTACTCTTGTAAGTAAAAATGTTTGCAGAGTTGTTCCAGGTCCCTGAGACTCTAACTTGATAGGCTTGTTGCTGATGTCATCAGGACACACAATGAGCCTTCTTGCCACTGATGCAAAGATGTGTCATCACACTGACGCTGTAAAAAACACTCGAATGTTTCGTCGTGTCTGGAGATTGTGCGGTGGAATTTATGTGCGGCAACAAATTCACTTTAATGACATAATGATCAAGTTGCCACCTGCTATTTGTTTCAACTCCTGATTTAATGCTCGAGTGTGCAGATGGTCTGAAAATGCTCCAAACAATCATCGCAAGTTCTGATATAAACAATCAGGACTTTAACTCTCCACTTTCTCACTTTCAGCCGAACACAATTAATTTTTGAAACCTAATGCAATTTGTGTTTTGCCCTCTCCAGCTGTTGGCCCCTGGAATCATCTCAATCCCTCACCCAGCTCGTCACGGGTACCGCCCTCAGGAATCAGGGCCTTCGCCGTCTCGGACGTTTGATTGATGAGGAGGCAGGTGCTCCACGTTTTTTGATAGTGTGAACTTGTTCAAGGTAGATTAGCCCCGCGGCGAAGGTTGCCATGGCGACGCCTCGGTTAAAAGCGAGCCAACTTTGCGCGACCGAAACAAAGCGATTAAACCCAAAAGTTTGTTCACAACAAGCCAGAGATAAACCATAAATCATCAAAGCAGCGACGCTTTCTAAGGTGGTGACTTTATATTGACAGGTAATCAATCATTTACTTGTTTTATAAATAAATTATAGCGTGTTATTTTCCTTTCTACTTGATGATAACAAGGTAAATCTAGTTGCCTTTGAATTTGCACCTCTAAACACCTCACAAATAATCAATAAAATTCTTAATTAATAGTTTTTCTATGTTTCAATCCAAAACGTCTTTAAAAAATCTTTGTTTCAATCATATAAAACTGCAATTTTTCAAATCACTTCTTCTTCACCGCTCCAGAACAACAACGTGACAAACTAGATTTTAAAGGATGTTCTATTCGTTCTCTGTATTTGTTTTTTCCAATTGAGGCCAAACTACAGCAATAGCAATCATCACTTCAATACAGAGTTAGTGGCAAACAGCAGTTCAAATATATGTGTTAGGGTATTGGATTGTTATTCTGCATCAGGAAAGGAAAATGCCATCGGAACATCTCTTGTCTGTGCAGTGAATTTAACCTGTGTTTGTGAAATAAATAACACACCACAGAGTAATACTTGAAAACAAAAGACTCTGATCTAATATCAGCTATTTATTGTCATGTTAATCTTATTTTCTGTTTTGACAACTTCTTCTGCAGAACAAAACATTTAACCTCTCAAACCCAGCGAATGATCTTATGTAAAAAATCTATTTGATATGAAGACGACAGGACATAAACACACACAATCAACTGATGGAACAGACACAAAGGCAATCCTCAAAACACAACACAACAGGAGACTCCTTGGTAGAAGAGACAGTGATTTGTGGATTTGGGTACATCCAACACAAACTGTGACAGGACTAACACGAGGGACCTGCTCCACCACATTGTCTTTCCTTCAGGTTGAGCCTGTTGTGAGGATTAACCATAAAAACAAAATAGGGACGGTGGAGAGGATCCTTCTTCTGACATTTTAGTGTCTGAGGTGAGCTGAGCCGGGGGATGAAGTTTAAACCACACGAGGATCAAGTAACAGGACACGCGATGAATAGAGAAACACTCTGACAGAAAGACGAGGAGAGCTTTTATAAAACTATACATTCTGTTGAGCTGATCCAATCGATGCAGTTACTGAATTCATAATTGCTAAGGCAATTTTTCGATTGTGGCTTTAAGGCAATAAATTGTTACAACTAATAACAAAGACATAATTCAAAATCAGAAAAGCTGAAATTCAGACTAAGGCTTCCTATGGATTGAAGCCACACATAGTGTTTGTTAAATTTTACTCTATTTGCAACCCACATAGCAAAATTGTTTGGCCCAGATTTGGCCCATATCCCACAATCAGCCCACACACCTCATGGAGTGATGGCAGCAGTCCGCTCCTGTTCACCAGGTCTGGGCCACGAGTAAAAGCCAGAGCAGTACCACATGTCAACCAAAAGGTGCCAAAGGTGGCTCCATGTGTTTTGTGCTATTTGGGCCATGTTCATCATTTACCACATGGGCCACTTTGGGTCCACATCCAGATTACACCTTCCCAAGAGAACCACGTGTTTGCCAACAAAAGGCCCACGTTTGTTTTGGGATATTTGGGTCACATTTGATATTTTACTTGGGTCATTGGTTGATAGACTCACATCCATTTCGTCAGGGCCACAGGGAGGCCAGAGGTGCCACATCAGGGCCTGAAGTCGCCCACATCTGGGAGAGCAGTTCTTTTCAACAACAAAAAAAGCATGAGAAGCATCAGTCAGCTCCTGGCTCCCTGTTGACGGTGTTGAAGTGCGTGGCCAGCTCCTGCAGCACCGCCCTCCTGCCCAGGTAATCGTTCCTCCTCTTCTCCATCACCATGTCCTCCAAACTCTGAAACTCCAGCACATGCGAGTGTTTGTCCGACACGAATATTTTCAGCCTGTACGGCTGCTTGCCTATCCGGATCTCCCCGCCCATCTTGAACTCCCTCTTGCCGAACCTGCACCAGGCAGCGAAGCACTCTGGGTTTCTCCAGCTCAGCTCCCGGTCCTTCAAGCCCACCTGCTCCATGGCGTTCTGCACCACCATGTCCGCGCCCAGGGCTTTGAATCTGTAAAAGTCGTTCGCGATCCTGCACCTCCTTCCCTGGCTCGCGTCAGTCAGGAAGCTGTTCTTCACCTCGGCTCTGTGCAGGTGCACCACCTGGAAGTCCCCCACGTACACGGCCCAGTGCGGGTACTGCCCCGTGGCCACGAACTCCACCAAGTCCCCCGCTGTGCATTTGTTGAGCAGGTTCTCCGGGGAGTAAACCTCCAGGTTGGCGCACTTGCTGCTCTTCTCGTAGATGCACTCCTCCCGGTTGTACACGGCGCACTCCACCTCGTCTCTCTGGTCGTACTGCTTCTCTTCCTGCTTCGGGTCCTTCACGGTGCCATCGACCACGCAGCCGTCCTCCAGCTCGTCGTCGTCGCTGGAGAATATGTAGGAGACGCCGATGCGCGGACCCTCCTCCGTGTCCACGCCGTTCGGGTCCACCGTGGGAACTTCTGCGTAACTTAAATGTGACAGCTTGTCCATCTGGTTCCCCATGCCGCCGCTCACCTGCTGGCAGCCTCGTGTAATCTGATGCAGGGAGTTGTTACCGCTCGCCAAACATCACCAGTCACCATCTGCCGCAAAGCCTCGCAGCTTAGTCAAACTTCCTTCTCCCCCGAGCGACGCACCGCGTTTTATCCAAATTACGCATAAACACTCAGCTGCTGCCCCATCAACAAGTGGCCGCAGAATAAACTGGTTTCAAATCCAGCCCGTGTCCCTCAGGTGTCGCCTCGCTCCCTCAGCAGCCGTTTCCTGCGTAAAGTTCCGTCCTGTTCCTTGGACGCACAAAACAAATGAGTAAGAATCCAAACCTTCGACGCTTGGGCTCAGAAACGAGTTCGTCTTCACCGCAGATGAAGCTGCAGCTCTGCCGGAGCTCAGGCTGCGCGCAGAGCAGCAGAGACCCGCTGGAGTGAAGGTGTTTGTCTGATCCGTGGCTCCACATGCACAGCCACCCTCACACTGAGCCGCTGTTAAAGCGGAAGTGCGCGATTCTCACCGGCAGCACTTTCAACGTCCTCATCACCACACGAGCAAATGTTTGAGATACTGTTTTTATTTAAACTTCTGATGAGTCAGTGTTTACTATCCTATGACTGATTTTTATTCAAATTCAATACCAACAGAAATAAAATAAGAATACTC